ATGGACTTGATGAAACTTTACTCTCACTTAAAATACTCCATTGTCTGCAAATATAAATATATGAGCATGTAGCATGTGTTTGAAGCTTATTGGGTTAGTCAAAGCCCTTGCTGATATTAGTAATGCAGCATATCACGGTGAGTGAGCTAAAGAAATACCCTGGAAACTCCAGGAATAGGTAAGATCTCACTTTCAAGCCTAATCAGACACCTTTTCCTAAACACTCAATGACTCCTAAACCTTTGGAACTACTGTAAAATGGTTGTTTTGCCTTTATGTTTGTTTGTTTGTATCAATGCATGTATTTCAGTTATTTTGTTTTGATTCATAGACTCCAGATGAAATACTTTTTAGAAATGAAAAGTTATGTTTCACTTATATAAAGGACCTAAGGCACAGCCATTCTAAATGTTTTCAAGATAAGAAGCCTACTGCACATTGGAGAGATAGTAAAGTGGGTGGTTAAGAGCACAGCTCTGAAACAGAGAGCATCTGTTTCAACTTCAGAGCTACCATTTATCAGCTGAATAAATTGGGGCAAATTGCTTTATTTCCCCATGCCTCAATTTTCCCATTTGTAAAACAGATATAATAAGACATCATCTCGGCCAGGCGCCATGGCTCATGCCTGTAATCCCAGAACTTTGGAAGGCCAAGGCAGGTGGATCACCTGACATCAGGAGTTCGAGACCAGCCTGACCAACGTGGAGAAACCCCGTCTCTACTAAAAACACAAAAAATGAGCTGGGTGTGGTGGCACATGCTGTAATCCTAGCTACTCAGAAGGCTGAGGCAGGAGAATCACTTGAACTCAGGAGGTGGAGGTTACAGTGAGCTGAGATTGCACCATTGCACTCCAGCCTGGACAACAAAAGAGAAATTCTGTTTAAAAAAATATATATTAAAAATAAATAAATAATATCTCATGGGGTTGTTGTAAATACTAAATATGTGTTTTCTGTTATTAACAACTCATATAAGATTCCTTGAAATAGGTACATATTAAGCTGTGACTTGAAAAAGACAGCAGTAGGTGGCAAGTAATCCAAATTTCTTCATAGAAATGGGATCTATTATTAACTAATATTAGCATTATCTTCACATTTTCTGTGCTGATATCTATCTATATATGTACCTTTCATAAATTGTTCTCTAATGAGATGATTTATTATCTTCAATTATAAAATCAATAGACCTTTTTACAAAAATGGGGTTTTATCTATCTTTGAGTTAGATGCCTACAGCACATAGAATGAGGATTAAGCTAATGAGTCAAAGGTGTGTTTCTAAAGAAAAAGTATTGCAAAATGCGGAGCCATTCACAAGACCAGAGAGAAGGCCCTCCAGCAGAGAGACCGACTGATGCAGGAACAAGGGCCCAGCCATGCCTGAACTATGGTAAAATGTCCTTACGCTGTCATCAGAAGTTGCCTTATCTATTATCACCTCTGGCAGAAGCTGTCCATTGGGGAGCATGAGGGCTGAGCGTCCATCAACCAGGGAGACCACACCATTGCAGTCCACAGCACTGTGCATCTTCCCATTCACTGGCAGCATTGGGGAGGACCTACTGGCTTGACTGACGTTACTGCTGCATCTCTCAGGGGGTCTGTGGGGCACGAACAGTGAGCCCCTTCTGCTCTCATTGTCTCCAAAAATGCTGTGCTCATCATCAGCAAATTCAGTCTCAGATCCTATATCTCTTCCTCGGCCCTTGAAACTGAAAAGGCTTGTTCTGCTGCTTCGCCTTGCAGAAAACAAGGAGCCACGAATGCTGAGTGGTGACTACAGGAAAATTTAAAAAAGACATATTTGTTGAAGCGCCTACTAATAGAAGCACACTTCATGTAAATACCACTGAACATGCTGGCCTGAGGGCAGGTGTCTCTGTAATAGCTTAAAAGAAACATACTTAAAAACAAAGCAATTCAGTGAGAAGAAACCTTCCACTTAAGGGATGAAACAATTTGTAGAATTCATCCTTTGAGGACCAGGTAAATTATTTGTTGCTGTACAGCTCTCAAATATTCTGGTCTAGAGTTATTGCTCCATTCTTTTAATGCCATTCATTTTGCTGTACAGAACATATCACTTAAAGAAAAAGAGATTAGTATTGCTACCTGTCATTCAGCTTTTTATATTTCAATCCCTAAGAGTCACAAAAAATGGAAATTTACTTATAGTCAACGACCATGCCGTATGGTTCTTTGCATTGCAAATCCATCTTACATACTGAGAGCTCAGTTAAAGTGTATTTAAAAAGAACTTTTAATACCAGTAAGTATATAAAGTCATTAAATATTTAAAAAGAAGTTGCCCAATACCAAAGAGGCGGAAAAATTCATGCTTATATGACTCATGTCCAGGATAAGCTTTTTCCATAAATCAAATTGAATGCAAATTCTTTGGAAGGATCTAATTCAATAGACATTAGTGCTTACTATGTAAAGAACAAAGTGGTAAGTATTGTGAACAATGGAAAATTATGACAAGGTCTTTTCCTCAAAACCAGCTTGGACTGCTTCTGTCATATTTCTTTTTCTTGATATATATGTTCAAATTCTGTATCATCATCTAGGTAGTGAAATTTTGAAGGCAGGGACTCTATCTTTTATTACTGTGTATATCAGGCAGAATCTTGCAGATTCTTAACTAGATTTTTATTTTAGAAAAATGATTTTTGGGGTTGTGTGATGGAAAACGGGGGAGTGCTAAGGAAAATAGAGGCAATGGTTCATCTTGGAGGCTTGTGGAGAGCTATAGGCAGGGTGGCCTGAGAGATGAAGGTTTCAGTGAAAAAAGAAAGAAAGAGAAAGAGAACTTCCATGTAAGCAGAATTAACAGACTATGGCACTACATATTAGTAGTTCCTGTGGTTGAGGGTGGAGGATATCAAAGGCTTCTCCAAATTTCCAAATGGGTGCATGATACTCAGATAATACCATTACCTACAGTGGTTAAGAAAGAAGAGAGACTGCTCTCGGATTAGTTTTTAACCAATGAGGCATTATACATCACAGACTAAATACAAATATAAAAGTTATTCTATAGTGTGAATAGTATCTTTATTTCTACAATGTTTCTCAGGAGTATTTTGTTTTTGAAAATGAGTTATTAGAAAAGACATTGACAATTCTGAAACTATAAGTTCTTTTAGAAATGATCAAACTTAAATGGAAACCTGAGTACATCTTTCCATAAATGCTCAGCGATACTAAGTTTTTACCTAAAATCATAACAATGGAGCCACTCACTATCCACTATCATCTGAGGTCTCTTACCTCCAAAGACTTTTCTCTATCATTCTGCCTCTGGTGATACACATTTAGCAGTTTGGGTGGTACCTGATTGGGGGTAGATAATCTCTTTTCCTGTGCTCGCCTATGCCCTTCGACACCAAGGTGGAAACTTTTTCTTCTGATGCTCTCCTCTGATTCTGATTTGGACAATTTCTCAACATCTCCCTTTTCTTCTCCACTGGAGAGCTTCTTTTGGTTCTTTTTCTTTCTTCTGTTTCTTCTTTCTTTAGCACTTTTAGAGCTCAGTTTGGATGTTTCAGAAGAACTCTCTGAAAGGCCCATAATTCTGCTTCTCCCAATGCTTGTATATTCAGCTGCTGCTGCTGCAATTGCCTGGGTGGGCCAAGAGGTTAACACTTAAACGAGTCATTTCCAAATCCTGGGAAACCCTAGGACAGGACATATTTCGCCTACCAGTGTAACTACATGGTACATATAATTATGTCCTTTAAACATGAAATGATCGTTTTCTTTATACAATGACCAGAATGCTTACAAAGTATATATTTGTTTCCTGTCTCAGGTTGAAATGAAGCTCTATTTTGTTTTGGAATTAAACTATTATATGTCATTAATTTGCTTACAGTAAAGAAATATTAAATATTACATGTTAAACTTTCACAAGGTAATTCTGAAACATAAAACTCACATAAACCATGTAATAAGATAGACAATTTGCATATAAGGCAATTAACTCAATATTATCAATAGAATCAGGCACTCTATGGTTTAATAAAGATTGAGTTATCTGAAAAATAAGTAAATTATTAAAAAATGATACTGTAAGAAAATGGTAAGGTCAATGACTACTAGCCTGAAAGAAATTTCTGGGAATTCTCTAGGTAGTACCTGGTATAACCTAGTACTATCCCTTTACAAAAATGTTTTGATTATAAACATTAAAAAATTCTTGTAAAAAAAACTGGGAAATAAAGATGTGAATGAAAAACAGAAAAATCACCTTACATCCCAAAAATAATTGGTGCTAATATTTCTTCCATTCTTTTTATATGTATGTATAATTTTAAAATTGAGATTGTATTCTACTATAGTATTTATCATTATTCTAAAAGGTTTTTCCTAATGGCATAATAATTTTTAAAAAAATACACAATTTTATGACAAAATAATACCATAAAAGATATACAATTTTCATACCTTTTTGTTATTTTTTAATTTTTCAAAGTTTAAATGTTTTCTGATTTTTACCATTATTAAAATGCTGCACTGAATATTTGTGCATTAGAGTTTCTCTGAATTACAGATGATTAATCCCCCCTAACACTAGATTCCTTGAAGAGATTTAACTAGGTCAAACTAAGACAAATTTTAAGATACCTGCAGTATATTTGAAATTATGTTTCTTTTAGTACAAGCCTTCTCAAACATTTACACTGAAGAACCTCTTTGGAGACAGGATTAAGGAGGAAACTTTCAAGGATCTGTGACAGCCTGAAGTAGCCACACCAAAATTATTACTTTCTTAATATCTCATGCTTTATCTTAAAAATCCTTGTGACATTAAGAAAAAATGACACACCGTTTTCTTTATACCCCATAGAAGAGTATCTGTTAAATTTAATCTTAAAATATTTTTCCTGAAACCATTTTATATAATCGGTACTCTGGGGAAATGCACTCTGTGTGTGTGTGTGTGTGTGTGTGTGTGTGTGTGTGTGTGTGTAAGGATGTAGTTTATATACCTAAATTCAGTGGCAGTATCGTAGCCAATGAGGTTTATCAGAGGTGCGATTATTGCTAATTGAAACCTTTTCCCAATACCCGGCCGTGATGACTTGCAATACAGTCAGCACTGGCAATTTTTTTTTTTTTTTTTTTTTGAGACGGAATTTCGCTCTTGTTGCCCAGGCTGGAGTGCGATGGCACCATCTCGGCTCACCCGCAACCTCCGCCTCCTGGGTTCAGGCAATTCTCCTGCCTCAGCCTCCTGAGTAGCTGGGATTACAGGCATGCGCCACCATGCCCAGCTGATTTTTTGTATTTTTAATAGAGACGGGGTTTCACCATGTTGACCAGGATGGTCTCGATTTCTTGACCTCGTGATCCACCCGCCTCGGCCTCCCAAAGTGCTGGGATTACAGGCATGAGCCACCGCGCCCGGCCAGCACTGGCAATTTTTGACAGTCTCTACGGAAACTGATTATAATTAAAAAAAAAAAAAAAATCTAGCCGGAGAAGGCTGAGCATAGATCACAGGGCCTGTTATAACCTTTTGCATTTCTATCTCTAAGAAGAATTTTAGATCAAATAACACTACCTCCGCTTCTTCTTGCTCTTTTTTAAGTCGGTCTAACATCTGTTGAAATTCTAATTCTTTCTGTTTAGCTTCTTTGATGTTTGCCTGGTTCTGTTCTTCATAAGCCATGGCAACCACAGCCAGGATCAAGTTTATTAGATAAAAGGAGCCCAGGAAAATGACGACAACAAAGAAGATCATGTAGGTTTTGCCAGCAGCACGCAAAGTCTAGGGAAAAATGGAAATTGTCATTTTAATAATAGAAAAAAAATTTAAGTAAATTATTTCAATTTGACAAGCATGGGCAAATCTGACAGTTTTGTATAATCTCATTTTATCAAAAATGTAAAGAAAAAATTATGTCTTCATGGAAAACAAATATTAAACACATTTTCAGTACAAAGAATATAGCAATACAATACGCTTATACTAAAGTCATGTGTATTTCTTGATTATTAAGTGTAGTAGTATAAAAATCATGCATTTTTTCCTACAGTCTGAAAATTACTCATAAAATTAAACCCTTTGCTCACTTTCAAATTTTAGGACAGGTGATGTCTATAGTCCCTTTTACTGTTAAAAGTCTTTCTTTTATTTCTTTACCATCAAATAATAATAGCATTAAATGTTAACAGTAGGCAGATAACCTTATTTAATTACTTTATTCATCTCATACGTATTTTTAATTAACTTTTCTTAAGTGTTTCTGCTTTTAAAATAGATTTTACTTTTTAAAATAGTTTTAGGTTTAGAGCAAAATTAAACTGAAGGTACAGAGATTCTTTCTTTTCTTTTCTTTCTTTCTTTCTTCAGAATGTGTAATTTGTTACATAGGTTTACATGGGCCATGATGGTTTGCACACATCAAGCTGTCATCTACATTAGGTATTCCTCCTAGTGCTATCCCTCTCCTTGTCCCCCACCCCTCAACAGGCCCTGGTGTGTGATGTTCCCCTCCCTGTGTCCATGTGTTCTCATTGTTCATCTCCCACTTATGAGTGAGAACATGTGGCGTTTGGTTTTCTGTTCCTGTTTTAGTTTGCTGAGAATGATGGTTTCCAACTTCATCCATGTCCCTGCAAAGGACATGAACTCATTCTCTTTTATGGCTGCATGTTATTCCATGGTATATATGTGCCATATTTCCTTTATCCAGTCTATCATTGATGGGCATTTGGGTTGGTTCCAAGTCTTTGCTATTGTGAATAGTGTTTCAATAAACATACATGTGCATATGTCTTTATAGTAGAAGGATTTATAATATTTTGGGTATATGCCCAGTAATGCGATTGCTGGGTCAAATGGTATTTCTAGTTCTAAATCCTTGAGGAATCACCACACTGTCTTCCACAATGGTTGAACTAATGTACACTCCCACCAAGAGTGTAAAAGTGTTCCTATTTCTCCACATCCTCTCCAGCACCTGTTATTTACTGAATTTTTAATGATTGCCATTCTAACTGGTATGAGATGGTATCTCACTGTGGTTTTGATTTGCATTTCTCTCATGACCAGTGATGATGAGCTTTTTTCCATATGTTTACTTTAAGTTCTGGGATACATGTGCAGAATGTGCAAGTTTGTTACACAGGTATACATGTACCATGGTGGTTTGCTGCACCTATCAACCCATTATCTAGGTTTTAACCCTGCATGCCTTAGGTAGTTGTCCTAATGTTCTCCCTCCTGTTGCCCCTCCCCCCAACAGGCCCCACTGTGTGTTGTTCCCTTCCCTGTTTCCATGTGTTCAAATTGCTCAACTCCCACTTATGAGTGAGAACATGCAGTGTTTAGTTTTTCCTTCCTGTATTAGTTTGCTGAGGATTATGACTTCAAGATTCATCCATGTCCCTGCAAAGGACATGATCTCATTCTTTTTTTATGGCTGCATAGTATTCCACAGTGTATGTGTACCACATTTTCTTTGTCCAGTTTATCATTGATGGGTATTTGGGTTGGTTCCACGTCTCTGCTAATGTAAATAGAGCTGCAATAAACATATGTGTGCATGCATCTTTATAGTAGAATGGTTTATATTCCTTTGGGTATATGCCCAGTAATGGGATTGCTGGGTCAAATGGTATTTCCGGTTCTAGGTCCTTGAGGAATTGCCCCACTGTCTTCCACAATAGTTAAACTAATTTATACTCCCACCAACACTGTAAAAGTGCTCCTATTTCTTCACAGCCTTGCCAGCATCTATTATTTCTTGACCTTTTAATAATCACCATTCTGACTGGCTTGAGATGGCATCTCACCGTGGTTTTGATTTGCATTTCTCTAATGATCACTGATGTTGAGCTTTTTTTATATGTTTTAGGCTACATAAATGTCTTCTTTTGAGAAGTATCTGTTCATATACTTTGCCCACTTTTTGATGGGATGCAAGGCTGGCTCAACATATGGAAACCAAGAAATGTAATTCATCACATAAACAGAACCAATGACAAAAAACACATGATTATCTCAATAGATGCAGAATAGGACTTTGATAAAATTCAACATCCATTCATGTTAAAAACTATAAATAAACTAGGTACTGATGGAACATATCTCAAAATAATAAGAGCTATTTATGACAAGCCCATAGCCAATATCATACTGAATGACAAAAGCTGGAAGCATTCCCTTTAAAAACTGGCACAAGACAAGGATGCCCTCTCTCACTACTCCTATTCAGTATAGTATTGGAAGTTCTAGCCAGGGCAATCAGGCAAAAGAAAGAAATAAAGGGTATTCAAATAGGAAGAGAAGAAGTCAAATTGTCTCTGTTTGCAAATGACATGATTTTATATTTAGAACACTTGATAATCCCAGCCCAAAAACTCTTTAATTCAATAAGCAACTTCAGCAAAGTCTCAGGATACAAAATCAATGTGCAAAAATCACAAGTATTCCTCTGCACCAACAATAGACAAGCAGAGAGCCAAATCATGAATGAACTCCCACTCACAATTGCTGAAAAGAGAATAAAATAGCTAGGAATACAGTTTACAAAGGATATGAAGGACCTCTTCAAGGAGAGCTATAAACCACTGCTCAAGGAAATAAGAGAGGACACAAACAAATGTAAAAACATTCCATGCACATGGATAGGAAGATTCAATATTATGAAATGGCCAAACTGCCAAAAGTAATTTATAGATTCAATGCTATTCCCATCAAACTGCCATTGACATATTCACAGAATTAGAAAAAAAAAAAAACTACTTTAAATTTCATATGAAACCAGAAAAGACGGCATATAGCTAAGACAATCCTAAGCAAAAAGAAAAAAGCTGGAGGCATCACCCTACCTGGCTTTGAACTATACTATAAGTCTACAGTAACCAAAACAGCATAGTACTGCCACCAAAATAGACATACAGAGCAATGGAACAGAAGAGAGACCTCAGAAATAACACCAGACTTCTACAATCATCTGATCTTGGACAAACCTGACAAAAACAAGCAGTGTGGAAAGGATTCACTATTTAATAAATGGTACTGGGAAAACTGGCTAGCCATACGCAGAAAACTGAAACTGGACTCCTTCCTTACAACTTATACAAAAATTGACCTAAGGTGGATTAAAGACTTAAATGTAAAACCCCAAACCATAAAAACCCTAAAAGAAACCTAGGCAATACGGTTAAGGACATAGGCATAGGCAAAGACTTCATGACAAAAACACCAAAAGCAATTGCAACAAAAGCCAAAACTGACAAATGGGATATAATTAATCTAAAGAGCTTCTGCACAGCAAAAGAAACTAAATATCAGAGTGAACAGGCAAACTATGGAGTGGGAGAAAAATTTTACAATCTACCCGTCTGACAAAGGTCTACTACTGAGAATCTGTAAGTAACAAACACATTTACAAGATAATTAACATTTTAATTAGCAATTTTATAATGTAATATACTTTTATCATACATTGCATTTTAAAGTGAATTTAGAATACTATAAATGAAAAATAAGTCTCTCTTTCCTCTGATGAAAAATTCTTTCAATTGTTTTAATTTGTGTTTCTTTAATTTTGAGTAAAGGTGATCACTTCTTGCATATTTAAAAAATACTTGCATTCCTGTTTTTGCTGCAAAGTGTATCTTCATAATTTCTCTATTCATTTATAATGTTCTCAGAAATTAAGTAAATATAAAATAGGCCAAAAATAGAAAGAAAGAAAGAAAGAAAGAAAGAAAGAAAGAAAGAAAGAAAGAAAGATCGATCGATCTGTGGCTATTCTGAGAAAAGCGACTCATTATGTGTAATGTAGGATAATCATTTCGGCCTTCTTCCTTTTGGGGTTGGCTGCTGAGAATATACAAGTAAATAGAGACCACAGCCCCAAGAGTTTCACATTTAAGTTAGAGGAAATGGCCATGTGAATTAATACAGTACAAGAGATCCATGATATAAACTGAAGAATATACAAAAAGCCATGGAAGTCTACAGCAGGGAGCAAATGATTTGGGAGAGAAAAACTTAGATAAATGAATTGAGTCTTTAACTGTAAATAGGAATTAAAAACTAAAACGTGATGACCAGGTTAACATTAGACAGCCTCTTCTGTTCAGGCCATCCCAAGCATGCATGTAAAACAGCG